CAAGCTAACGAGTCAAGAAAATTCACCGGCAAACTCCTAAAAAGTGGTATATATACTCTACATCTGGCCTTTTTAATCAAGTATAAAGTGATTTGGTTAGTTAAGCTCATATGTCAACTTCGCTGCATGTTAATATGTCTGGCTCTGTATTTGTATGTGAGTGTTTGTATTCGAATATGCACGAAACCCGAAGTGATGGCTCAGAGTAATAAGGACAGCAAAAGGAACGTCTGTTTTTGGCCATCAAGATTTGAGGGCCCCTATCTCCCACTTTTCTGCATACATGTTATAACCATCACTCTGCGCAAGGTCGGACACACGTCTGGTTTAGTTGATAGGCTTATTTTTTGTTTTTGGTCTCAATGCGAGAGAAAAAAAGTGAGCTAAAAGTACAGAGAATTGACTTTCATTAGAACCAAAACAAGAAAAGACGAGTTCTGTCGCCTCCTTTTTGCAGGCAGCTCAACTCCCTCTCTATCTTTCAGTCTATTAATAAGGCAAAAATAGTTTTTACTTATCTTGTTGCCAGTATTCCTTACATTTAAGGTATTTTCTATTCAGCTTATTTCGATTGCTTCCCTAATTTAACCCTTAGCCGCAAACATGCCATAATCAGCAAAATGGCAAGTTTGAGACCATTCAATCTCGTGTCCCGTTTCTGGCCTGTGCTCAGCAAGATCCGATTTTTAAACCCAACAGCCTTTGCATCTGCTTTTGTGTTCAGCCACCCTTTGTCGAATGGGACGACAAGTCTCTCCAACATAAAAGCGACCACATGAACACGTTATTTTGTAGCAATCCGATCTGGATAATGGGTCGACTTTCTCTCTAAAAGTTGGCATAACTGAAAAAAGTGTCGTAGTTTCTCTAAAGACCGTTTTTATTCCCTACTTTCTTACTTATCCACCTATCCTTTTAGAGAAACTGCGCAAAGGTAAAGACAAAACATATTCACCATTCAAGAAGCTTTTCTTTATTAATCTAATATTATTTTCAATCAAGCCTAGGTGACAGTTTTTTCAAGAAATATTATTTTAAGCCGATTTAGTTCATTATCACAATGGTCTACATCGGCTAGTCTTATGCTCCGAATAATCATAGATTTTAAAACTCCAATCTTTGTTTTGTAATTTTGATTGGAGAAGAAGTTAAATATAAAGCCAGCATGTGTTGGCTTTCTATAGACATCTCTGCTTAACTTCTCACCTGCTCTGATCACTAAGACATCTTAAAAGAGTAAAGTATTGTTGATATCCATCTCCATTATCAACTTATTATTGCAATCAGTCTGGTTAATTAAAACTATCCTTGCCATGCTGCAATATCGCAAAGTAGTCATAAATGTATCAAACTAATAGTTTGGGTGTCAATCTTACCTCTTCCATAAAGTGTTCCTCCATTATTGACATGTAATTATTAGCCAAAATGGGAGCCAAGCAAGATCCCATTGCTAGGCTTTGCACCTATTCATAAACTTTATTATTAAAAGTGAAGTATCTGTTGCCCATGAATAGATTAAGAAGCCTTAACATTGAGCCTTTGCTCAGATTTCCCTCTCCAATAACTTCTAGGTGTTCATTTAGGCTGAGTGTAAGTGCTTCAATAGCTTTCTAGATTGGAATGTTAGTATACATTGATACCACAACAAAACTTACCATAAGATCCTCCTCTTTAATATTCTGTTGATCTTTTAAACTAGCAAATTCATATGAACTCTTAACAGAATATTTCCAATACTCAGCCATTTTTCTTTGTTGTCTATATAAGGGACGTGAGATCATATGCATCACAGTAACCTTGTTATTAACAATGAATCTTGAATGAACTCCTTCTTGTGTATTTTTGGAAGGCCATAAGTCGAAGGTGCCATAGCATCCCTCTGAAGAAGTGAAATCATTTTCCACTTCTTAATTTCTCCTCTGCTTACACAAACGTTAAGCGATTCCCTAGGTCTGGCATTAAGACTTTATGTGGGATCCTTCAGTAAAAGTCAGTAAGTTTCTAAGTCATTTAAATTAACCATTACTTTTTTTATACAACTTAACCTATCCATGATGACCACTGCACTAACTTTTTCTGCCTTTAAAACAAACAGATCCTTTTGAGTGCTAATATGTAGAAAGTTTATTCAAGTCATACGATTTCTTTGGAATAATTGCTTCATCAAAATGAGGAATCACTTCTCTTTCTCTACTATTCTTGGCCTCTTCTGGCAGCTTGTCCGTTAAGTTAATTAACTTAACCAGTACATCTACAGAATGATTTTGCTCATTTGGAAATGCAATGTTTAAACCCCTCTGCAAGACGAGCGTAACATTAGCATCTATAGATATACTGGATAGGTTAGTGACTTTATTTTTGCTAGCAAAAATAGTACTAAGTTTAACTACCTCCTTATTGTTTCGACGATTCCTTTGGCTGATATTGATGCCTAAATTCCTTTATTTTTTTATCATGTCGGGATCTATGGATCTTATCCATCCTTTCTGCCAAACCGTCCTCCCTTCCCTGTGATTTGATAAAGTCTTTTCAAGAAAATAACTTGCTGAGCACAGGCCAGAAACGGAACACGAGATTGAATGGTCTCAAACTCGTCGTTTTGCTGATTATGGTATGTTTGCGGCTAAGCCATGGAAATACACCGAATAGGACATACATTGAATGTAAGGAATACTTGTAAAAAGATAAGTAAAAACTATTTGTGCTTAATTAATAGACTGAAGGATAGAGAGGGAGTTGAGCTGCCTGCAAAGAGGAGGCGACGGAACTAGTCTTTCTTGTAGATACGACCATAAACTTGGTTTCGATGCATCTCCTGAGATAACATTGTTAGGGGGACCTTCATTTCGGATAAAAGTGCATGAAGAAGAGATTCATTGGTCGATTTCGCCAGATGAGGACGGATGAACCTCATTGTTCTGCAGCCGTTTGGCTTTTATACGATATTCATGTTGACACAGTCCACGGCACTTTCCCCCTCATTTCGGGTGAAAACGTGCTGAGCCATCGTCCATCAGATGATGGACATCGACAGAGCTGGGTGTCATTCTTGTAAAAGGCTTTCGTTATCACTAGGCCAAGAAGTAGCAAAAGTTGCAGGACTAGTATGAAAGTTAATTAGCCAAGCTACTCTATATCCATCTAGGTTTTTAATTTTTATTGTCTTTTGGCTTAACTGAGTCCAAATGAGAAGTAAGATAGAGCCGGATAGTGTTCTTGCGTTAGTGCTAACGTGAGACTTTTACAAGAATGGCACACAGCTCTGATGATGTCCAGCATATGATGGACGAAAGCTCAGCACGTTTTCACCCGAAACGAGGGAGGAAGCCCCGTGGACTGCGTCAACATGAATATCATATAAAAGCCAAACGGCTGCAGGACAGCGAGATTCATCCGTCCTCATCTGGTGAGATCGACCAACAAATCTCTTCTGCATTCACTTTCATACGAACTGAAAGTCCTTTTCAAAAATATTATCTTAAGAGATTCATCAAAACCCTGTTTCTCTTCATATCTACAAGCATAAATAGTTCCTATTCACCTTTCTAGCACCGTTCCTCACCGACGTATTTCCTATGCTATTAATTTCAATAGCCCCAACAATAGTAATAATAATAATATACGAGATGCATTTATTCTATCTCTTTGAGGTGATACATCAAGCATATGAATTGGCCTTACGTTTCCATTGAATTTCACATAGCCCTGCCTCTCAATCGGTATTCTCATCCAGGCTTGAGTGGACTGTAGGTTTGACCTCGTCTGAACTGCTCTCATCAGCAGCCCAAACGAGATTCTAAATTTCCCATTGCTGTTTATCACACAGCCACGAGTGAGCTTAGGTCACAGGGCAGATGCGAATTCCCGCAAGAGCCAGGCATTTTCCCATACCACATTCTGCGGTGAGATTGTCGATGAAGCGAAGTTTTATTTGCCATAGCAATAGACTACATTACCTATTTTCGAGGCTACCAGTAGATCATATACACATGTCTATGAGATGTATGCACCCTGATCTAAACATTGTGGGCAAATTCTACTGCTAGTCCTTCATCACCTTAATAAAATAGGATGATTAGTCCTCCTTCATATAATGGTAGTCTCGAATCCCAGTTACAAAATAACCATGAGCCTCTTCATGTTGATTTTTGGTATAAGGTCGCATTTCACTCCTTCATGCCACTCGGCCGAGCTGGTCTGCCCAAGTTCTTATTCAAGCACTTGAATGTAAACAAAGTGAGGGCAAAAGCCCTGACAACCGATGCTTAATCCGTGATTGGTAACATTTTTTTTGAAGTAAGTATTGTTTTTCGTGACTACCAGTAAATCAGTTATAAGATGTATTCCACCAATTTCGTTTGAGGTGATGAAGGACTGGTAGAAGTAGAATTTTATCACAAATGATATGAGTTGAGCTGACATTTCCATTGAATTTTTACATAGCTTTGCCTTCCCAAAAGTTGTTCTCATCCAGGCACCAGAGTACTGCAGTTTCGACCTAGCATTGGTCGTATCAACACCCTCAGCGGGACCATCACGATGATTCGTTTCTCTGATGATGAATGTTCCAGTAAAGCCAATCGACAATTGGTCTTCTGGTGGGACCGACCTTCGAATCTCTTCACCCAACACTTTCCCTCGAAATGGAAGAAAGCTCAACAATTATGAAACGAGATATTCCTCGAAACCCAACTTTTCTTCGCATACGAGATATTCTCGGGTGCAATGAAACACATATTTTCGCTTAATCAGCGACATTACTATGAAAAACTGTAAGTAGTATCCGGCCATCAGCAGGACGGTAGCTTGACACGCTAACCACTCGGCTACACTGCCACGAGCGCCTTTCGGGTCACAAGGCCGACAGACGCCGATCCTGCCAGACTCGTCCTCGAGGCGGCCCTTCTTCTCCTCACCTCTGCAATAAAGGATGCAATGAAAGTGGCAGAGCAGAGTGTGAGAGTAAAAGAAAGTGGATGATTAAATCTGCCGCCGTCTGGACCGGCTGGTGGAGCCGACTCGCAGCCTCAGGCTCAGTCTCCGGCCGAGGCCGGTTCGAATCTCGGCCCGGATCAATGTGGCCCCGGCCAGCTCGAGCACAGTCCACGTCTGCCTCGAGTCCAGCTGCTCGGCCGCCGCCACATGTCCACCTTCAGCGCGCCGTCCACGGAGAGCCCGCGAGCCGCCGACGCTGAGAAGCCAGACTCGCCGCCGCCGCCGCCGCCGCCGCCACCGCCGGCGCTTCCGACTCGGTCGTCAGAGCCGGTGGCCGTTGACAGGCCGAAGCTCAAGTTCCGGCCATTCGAGCCCGAAGCACACGAGGGCAGAAGTGCCGTGGCCCGATCGGGCGCCAAGCCAGACCATCCGGCCCGAGACGACGATGACGCAGCGCCCGGCCTCGGTCGTTGTCAGGACGAGGAGAGGCAGGCGGTGCGATTCCACCGGCGCAACGGCGGCTGGCCGAAGGCCTACATTCCCGACTTCATGGCCCACCTGGACAACAAGGCTTCGGAAGTTCAACCGAACGACTCGGATCAGTCGCGCAGCCGCACAAACATGGTCGACGTACTGCGCTTCTTGCAGAGACCCACAGACTCCTCCAAGCGGTACACGTCCGTGTTTCTGGGCAACACCGGTGAGCAACTGTTGAGGCCATTTGATAAGCGAGAACATGTTTAAAAGCTTTCCTCAGCTCTGCCTCACAAAAGACCGTCTGACCAATTCGCATCGACAATTCGCACATTCACGGCAGGCCAGGCCGGATACTACTCACAGTTTTTAATAGTAATGTCGCCGATTAAGCAAAAATATGTGTTTCATTGCAACCCGAGAATATCTCGTATGCGAAGAAAAGTTGGGTTCCGAGGAATCTCTCGTTTCATAATTGTGGAGCTTTCTTCCATTTCGAGTGAAAGTGTTGGGTGAAGAGATTCGAAGGTCGGTCCCACCAGAAGACCAACTTGCAATTGGCTACTTATATGTG